CAAATGGCCTCCCACGCACCAAACTTTACTTGATTTTAGCGGCCGGGTGACTACTTTAGACCTGAGCTGCCTCTGCCACGTGAAGATAGCACGCGATAAGCAAAATTTGGCCGCTACCTCGATTAGCCACATTGCATTGCTGTGTGCATAAGTCACACTCAAACATCAAGCAACAGCCGAACCCAGATTTGACAGACCGGAGCTCCAAATCACTACGTACCTTGACCCTACCGCCGTGAATTTTAGACCGACCAACCGCCAACTTTGGGGAACTGACCGTTTTATCTTGATCTTGAACTCTTCAACCCCAAAACTGCTTCATCTTGTCCCGCTCGAGCTCTGCCTGTCACCGACCTTCGATACATCACACGCACTTTGACGAAATCGAGACGAACGAGCCTTATCGATGGGTGAATTCTCCCCTTGAAACTACCTACTCCGCACACCGGGCGACATCTTAGCTGTCACCATATTCTTCACCATCGCCTGACGTATCGCACTTGGATGCCCACCTGCTGAACGCAACCAACGGCCTCGATACCCTCCCCTCGGCGCGGCCTACGCCTGCCATCTCTTCGCTCCGATGTGGTGGTTATTCAGGGCGCTTTTCAGCTCTATCTTCCTGCTCAGCATCGTCCTCTCCATCCCCGTCGCTTTCGATGTCGGCGGTCGCGATAGTGGGCTGGCTTACAGTCTAGCCCTGTTCCTCTTCTACTTTACATATTCCAGCCTCGAGCTTTTGACGCCAGAAAAGTCACGCTCGCGGTATTTCCTTTCTGGATTTCTACGGTTGTCGCAGTGGATCATCATCCCCGCCCTCCTCATCTGGGCGCTGGGACAGTTCGCTGTCGATGCCGATAACACAAATTGGGTGGAGCGAACAGTGGGTGGCCTGTTCAACTCCAAGAGCACAAGCTGGAGGGAATGGATGTTTGGCAAGGACGGCTTGGTTGAGACGATCACGCTGGGTGGGTGGGATAATGTGCTACGATATTCGGGGCCCGTGTTCCAGCTTCTGGAGGGCTTCTGTACCTTGCTGGTCATCCAGGCAGCGGGACAGCTCACAAGATGGCTAGTCAACCGTGGAAGAAGTGATACTTGGTTGGTGGGTTTTATATCAAATCTTCGAATCTGGCACATGCTAACCCTGACGCAGATCGTTCTTCTGGTTCTCTCCAGCTCCATCATGGCTAGCGCCGTGTACTTCCTCTGGAGGGTAGCACAATTCCCTCAAATCGGCAATCTTGATGCCACCCTTATTGGCATCGCAATGACAACTGCCGTGTTCCTATGCGCCTTTGGTATTGGCAGTGGTCGCGGCAATCCTATTGAGTCGTCGCTTCTGTTTGCCTATATTGTGCTCTGCATCTACCAGATCTTCACCGATTATTTGCCATCAGAAAATGCAGACCATACACAAGATCACGATGGCTCAGAGTCTGATATTCCACCTTTACCGCCTATCATCATGGCATCTTACTCGACTTTCCTCCACATGCTGGGCTCATTGCCATCCGCTGTTCACTCGTCATTGGCGCTACTATATGCCGCCTTCCAGACTATCACGCCATCAGTCATCATTTCGCTAACATACCGCTCTTTGGTATTCTACTGCGCTACACGTATCATCCCCTCAATCCGCGAGTCGGGTGCGCAAGCCATGATGCAAGAACCAGACTGGGAGGACTCTGAGACTACAAGTAAATTCTTGGGCTTCCTCAGCTGGTTCTCGCCGTCAATTTTAATAGCAGTCTACACCAGTCTACTCCTGCAGCATTTCTCCACCAGCGACGGTCCAGATGGCTGGACTCTCCGAGGTGGTGATGTTGAGGGCAGCAACTGGCAGTGGGCCAATATTGGCCTGACTATGGTTTTGTACGGAGTCGAGCTTTATCTGGGCTCTGACGAGCATGACCACTGGAAAGTTGATTAAAAGTCACGGGCTCTAGAGTCACAGAACTACAGATGTCTGCTCGGCAGACCATCACCCACGGGGTCGATGTACTTCTCAGGGAGTACTGGACCGTAGAACGGACTTAGAAGATGGATGATATGGATTTTCTTTATTCGAATCAGCACACATTATCTTTTTCGCAGGCAGCATAAGGAACTGGACTGGGCTGGACTGGGATAGGGCAGTGGACAACGGGACAGGCACGATACCGCACACGGCGTTGAGGAAGGGCTTGGCAGGTTTTTGTTTCTTTGTTTTCTGCTTTACAGCAGCATGGCGATGGATGATGATGTGGGTTTTATTTAACCTCTTTTTATATAAGTTAGTTTGCGTGAGGCAATAGCATCACGACGTGAATCAATGATTATTTTGAAATCATGAGAGATGCAGCTTTTAAACGTGAAGATATGTTGTCAATCTTGTAGTCATTCCATCTATATTCCTAAATCCTGTCCTAAGTTTTAGTCCAGTGTTCCCTATGATTATTGTTCGGCTTCAACATCGAATAAGATGTATTGTCAAATTTACCGCGCACAATCTTCCCACAACAGTACAATGTACCTTTCGAGGCAAAAAATAATCAATGAGATATATTATGAATACGAATAACCATTTGCATCTTAGTGCTTTTAACCCTTGTCTATGATATGATGCTTCTCCAGAATCATGGGGCCGACACCGGCTCGCTACCCTAGACCCACCGGCGATCCTGGGGAAGATCGGATATAATGAGTATCCAGAGACATTACTTCAAATAGCTACTTCAATTTCTACTCCTTCTGCTCATATCAAGCAAGCATTTTTATTTCAAAATGTCTATCAAATATGTCACCGAAGGCCTTCCGGCCGCCCCAGAAATTTCCTTCAAGACCATTCATATGGCGGGTTTGCGTGTCGATGTCTATGGTCTTGATGAACTTCCTCCCAATGTCCCCGTTTCATGCCTGTGGCTTCTGCATCCTCGTACCAGATCACGAGACACCATGAATGATATTGCTAGACGCACCATAGGAGCGTGGGGCGCGCATGCTGGCAGCAACTCCAAGCGCGGCCTCATCGCCCTGGCATTTGATATGCCCAACCACGGAACTAGAAAGGTTAGCGAATCAGCGAACCATCCTTGGAGAAAGGGAAATCCGACACATGCGCTTGACATGTTTGCTATGGTGAAGGGAGGCGTATCAGATATGAGTGGTCTTATGGACCTTGTTTCGGGGTATCTTGGCCTTGAAATTGATGGCCATGTGTGCCTTGGCTGGAGCCTGGGTGGACATGGTGCCTGGCAGGCATTCTTTGGGGAGAAGAGGATCGATGCGGCTGTGGTGATTATCGGGTGTCCTGATTTCGCAGGTGAGTTATCCTAACTAAATGTGAGAGACGTAAGCTGACGAGATAGGACTCATGTCTGGCCGCGCTGCTGGATCGAAACTCGACTGCGGCGCCGATTTTATCGGAAGCAAATACTTCCCCAAGGATCTCATCGAAATCTGCAGCAAACACGATCCCAAGGCTATTTGCTTCGGTACTTCGCCCATTCCATCCTCACCATCCTCTGCCGAACAGACTCGTCTGAGGGCTATTCTGGATGAGCACGTCAAAGACAAGAAGCTACTTCTCTGCTCGGGCGGCGAGGATGAGTTGGTTCCATATGCCAACACCAAAGAATTTTCGACATTATTGAAGGAAGCTGTGGGTGAAAAGGGCTGGTATCGAGATGGTGGGTTGGAGGTGGATGATAGAGTATACGAGGGTATTGGACATAAGTTCAGTCCCAAGATGGTGGAGGATGCTGTGCAGTTCTTGGTTAATGCCGTGAAAAGGGGACCGAGAGGCAAGGCACATGTTAGAGACGGAGAGAAAAGTGTTCTGTAGATTTGCGGTATAGACATAGATGCGATAGAGATCACCAAGGCCGTGCTGCCTTCTCGTCTATAACTTCACTTCCATTCTCCATCTTGGTGACCAAACCACCGCGATCATCATCTTCACTTGGAAACACACTCTGATATACACCCCAAGGATTCCTCTTCACTCTCTTCCCAGCAAGACTCTCCCCTCGTCCGTGAGGATCAGCCTTCCACTCCCCCATCGCCAACGCAGCACCATTCATTGCCTCTTCTTTATCCTGATCTTTCGAAGATGCTGCCATACCGGGCGGATCTATGCCGATGAAGGTGACTCTGTCAAGAGGGAAGCCAATAGCTGCGCAGTGCCCATCGACAAGTCTCTCTTTCTTAAACCCATGACTAACAATGGTGATATGAGCTGGCCATCTTTTGTAGTGGGAATAGAAGAGCGTTAGGGAGAAGAGGACGTTGTGGTAGGAATCAAGCGCGCGCTCTTCTAACAATACTGCATCGTTGATGTTTTCATCCTGCAGCATTCCCCAGTAGTTGTTCTTGTCTGCGATGTCTCTGTAGCCAGCTGCCTCGGATATTCTCGACTCTTTACGCGTCGGTCCTCTATCATGGTCAGCATACGCATACTCACATCAGCCAGGTTACATACCCAGAAAACACCAAAGCAGAACCAGCACAATTCTGAGCGAGTGCCTTTACGCCAGCTTTAATATGCTGAACAAAAGTTGGGGTTTCACCACGCTGAAAGTCTGCGATTAGCCATTCACTTTCATCTTGGCCGAGGGTTGGGCCATCGAGCCAAACTCCGTGGCAGCACACGATGATGAGATGTGACGGTGGCATGGCGGTGAGATGGAAGATGAGGGGATTCAGGAGTTGGACAGGTTGGACGCAAAGTGAGGGTCTGATCATGTGATACCTAGTTCGTAAGCAAAGCAAACAAATAACGAATTGAGAATGTCAAGGTGTAAGATACAAGATATGAAGCGGGTTTTTACTGTGTTCACATTGGAGGACTGGACCTTTGTGATAGATTGAGATAGGCCTTGACCCTCTACCCTGGTATTGTACATATAGATCCTACCAAATCTCTCCATTCCATTTCCCCTTCCAATGCGTAAATCGCTTTGTGATAGTACATTCGCGTTGTAAATAAGGTATTCAAACATTCCAAGTCATCATAAGTTTCACTCCGTTTTCCTGTTAGCAGCCATCTGTGATTCAAAAGGATCGCTGCTGTCCCTCATCTTGGCTTGTTTTATCTCCAGTGCCCTTTGCTTCTCAGCCGCAGCGAGTTGATCTTTAAAGCTCTCCTTGCTCTCCTTCCCTGAAACGCGAGACTTGCCTTTGCGCTTCTTTCCCCCTTTCGGTTCGAAAGGGGACTTGGTTGGGCGCTTGGGGGTCGCTGGATACCCAAACGCTTGTCGATGACTCTTGTACTTCATGTGCGGTAGTGCAGGACGTCCCCTAATTTTGAGCATGGCATCTTGATAGTCTGCCTTGTGCTTCGCAGCCTGTGCCTCCAAATCTTCAAGACGGGAGGCAATATTTTCCACGGCCTTTTCAGGCTTCTCTGTTTTCTTATTTGGGTTTTCCATATCCCTCTTAATGGCGGCGATAGACTTCCGATATCCCTCTTCCTGCTTCTTGTGAAACGCAGCCATCTGTTGCAGCTCTCTTGTCTTGGCGGGTACTTCTAGTGGTTGGATAGGGCCGCCCTCTCTTACTTGGGCAAAGACTTTATTTAGTTTCGGTGATAGGTGGTGGTGTCGTCTCGCCTGTTTGAACTCCCGTGCCTCCTCGTCTGTCAGATTTCTCTCTCGAGCAATCTTGGAATATCGGTAGAGTTGAGCTCTGCCAGGTCTTCTCGTACCTAGTTCTCTTGATCGACGGATGCCTTTAAGGCTCAATAATTGTCGGATCAGGTAAAGACTTCCTGTAACCACTAAAGGACCACCGTCACTCTTCTTGCAAGCCCATGGAAGAGCACTCGCAATATCGGGCGTTCCTGAGTATACATTGCTAGGATGGATTTGCTTCGTCTTGGCGTATTCGGCACCAAAGGAGGCAGGCAAAGGCTGCGGGTCATTGGGACCTTGAGTAAATTCGACCATAGCCAAGTTGTCCTGGGGCTCGACAAGCCTTTCCATCATCTTGAAGAAAGGCTTGTGCTTGCTTTGGGACATACCAATAACCCAAGTCACTGGTTGACCATCTCTTCGTAGACGTTTGTTGACATGGTTGCGCAATTCTGTGATTCCCAACATGTTGTGAGCGCCGTCGACGAGAATTTCCCGTGGCTGAATACCAGAAAGTGGTGCGTTGACTTGAACTGTTTCCAATCGACCAGGTAAGAAAGGCTCGGTTTCCAAGAGCCTGTCCAAGTTGATCTCCTGCAATGGGAAGAGATGACGGAAAGCCATGGCTGCACACAACAGATTCTGGACTTGGTAGCTCTCGAGCATCCACCTTGAGTTATCGAGAGTTAACAGTAAAGGTTCGCCCTTCCATGTGAGGATGATGTCTGTTCCAACTTCTCGAGCGTGTTTTCGTAGTACATGGATGACAGAAGGCTTGTTAGTGTGGTCAACAATACAAGGAACGTTCTTTTGCATAATGCCAGCTTTGACCTTGGCAATGTTTTCGAGGGAATTTCCGAGGTACTCTTGGTGATCGAGGCCGATCTTGGAGATAATGGTGACAGACTTTTGCTTCATGGCATTGGTTGCATCGGTAGCACCGCCCATGCCAACTTCGACGATACCATAGGGAACATGCATTTTGTTGAATACTCGGAATGCTGTTGCTGTTTCGAACTCGAATGGTGTTAGATTCGGAGGGTCTTCTCCGTGCTTGTATCTCCAACCAGCAGCAATGCGATTGTACTTTTCCTCAACATGCTTCATTTCCATGTCGTACATCCGCGGATTCACATAAAGGCCATTGATTGCGACTCCATTGTGCCTCTCAGGAAAGGCGGGGGATGTGAAGCTTCCATAACCGAGACCAGCGAGCTTGAACATGCCAGCAAGAAATGTGCATATTGAGCCTTTACCATTGGTGCCAGCAACATGAATACCCTTCCACTCTTGCTTGTCTGGTACGACACGGCTTATACGATCCAGGCCTAGACGAATATCTCTGTAACCTGGCGTCCTTTTGCTGGCCAGGACCCGATTAATGCGGCTAATGGCGAACTGGATTTCCTGAATGGAAGAAGACATGATGGTGGTTTAGGTGAGGCGGCATCTCATCGGAGCCCGGCGCTGGGAGGGAGAAGTGCCGTGTGAGGCTCCTGAGATGCTGGTTGAGTCAGACCCAGGGCGAATTGGCGTATTTGGTGATGACTATGAGTTGAGTTGAGTTCCGTTATAGACGTCACGACATGAGTGAGACTACTACGTCCATTATTTTTCACTTTGGGGCAATTCATGTCGACATGGGGTGGGGTGCTGGAAGCCACACTCACCCGCTCTCCGAACGCCGATGAAAGTGGTCTGATGTGGCTCTGTGGCTGTGCAGTCTGCCTCCCGCTCCCGTTGATTGGCTGGAATTAGTCATTTACCAACAGTCCTTATCGCGACACGTGAGAAAGCACTATCAGACGCGCACGCGAACTGAACGCCCCGGACTCTAAGCCTCAAGAGCTCTAAACCCTCTGATTGGTCACATAATTCCATCGCAGTCTCCCTGCCCTGGAGCTGCATCTTGAACCCCCCGCACCCCCTTTGCCTGTTGCCCACTCCGTTCTTTCATCCTCTCCACTGGTTGATTACCCGCTTCACGCTTCACGCATTGTCGTCTGGCTTTTATCAACCTTGCTACTCTAGGCAACATCGTCATCACTATTCATCGACTATTCATCAATGAACACAATTTCTGGTCTTTGCAATCATTACGACTTAATTCTTTGATTCTTTATTCCGCTGTTTTCGCTCGTTTTCGTCATTCACTTCCCACTAAATCAGCCATGGGCCTCCCGTAAGCGCATCCTTGTTTTTTCCCTTACCCGTCCGTTACCTTCGTTGCCATCGCGCCAACGTAGTGATGCCCCGGTCGATCGATCTTGTCGTTGTCGCCATCGCTTCACTATATCAACGCAAAGGCATGCTGCAAATGTCGCGAATGCGCACATCCGTTGCTTGATTATGCGCGCTTCGTGCTTTGCATATTCGTCGCAGTAGTGACGGCCTCGTTCTCTCAACATGGTGCACTTGTTAACCTTGCCCTGCAGATTGTTTGTTGCCCCCGTGGAGTCAGATCTCCCTTCCAAAGCTGCAGAGAAGAGCAGTGCGACGTCGCCACCCCGCTCCGCCATTCGTCGCAATATACGCACAGAACGAATTGAACGCCGTGCCGCGCAGCGCCGTATTTTCTCAATTCGCGACCGCTTAAATGATGGCTCGCTACAACAGTCCGGTAATTTGACAGGCCGAGATGGTCGTTCCGTGCCATGGGCCGAAGCTGGATTCCCACCTGATCTAGAGACTACGAGAGGTCCTGATGGGCTGCGTCGAGCGAGACCGTTTCGCGATGTTCTTAGAGAGATGGCTAGATCGGATGATCGCAGAAGGGACATGCTTGAAGAGCGCATAAACTCTCTGTTTAGGGATGGCAGCAACACACAAGACCGAAACAATACCAATTCACAACCACCATACGATGATTGGGATCTGGGTTGGCATGAGGGTCCTCGACCTCGTCCTGCAGTGGTAAGTTCTATCATCGATGATGTTCTGTTCCAATTATGCAAGTCTTGTGATTTTTTCTAACTACAAACTCAGATTGTGCCTCTGTCTGCGTATCCCGACCGAGCTCCTGAAGAGAATGGAGCTCAACCGCAGAGACTTCCTTCTGCTGTAACGCACCCCGTGATTACCACACATGACCCAGCAGAAACGAACCAGCGCCGAGCTCAACGTTCCGCAATGCGCGAAGCTCTCCGTGCGTCAAACAGGATTACGCGATTTGCACCTTTGCAGCGTGTTGACGGACTTGGCGACCGTGATAGGAGCCTCAGTCCAGAGGTCTGGGATACTCTTCTGTCCACACTTACACCTGACCCTCAACCACCTAGCGCAGGTTCCTCTTTTGCGTCAAATGTTGCATCTCAGAGCGCCGGTGCTACATCAGGCACCTCTTTCACCACGCCTGACCAAGATCCTGAGACAATGGCTGACCAGGCCTGTGAGTCGGGTTGCGAAGGCTCCGAAACTGAAGACCTTGATCAGACTCTCAGCGTCCTGGATCGGATTAGAAGACGCCGGGCAGAGATGCGACGTGTTCACGTAAGACTCCCCGAAGCTGGCCAAGACGCCCCAATTGATGGAGGTGCCATTCGGGATAATGGGGCAGTTGGTTCTGATTCCAGACAAGGAAGATCCCCGGATGGACTAGTGCCAAGCGATCACCACCACAGGCTCAGGACCTTGCGTCGAGAGCGCTCTCTCCGATCACGTTCTGCTTGGGTGGGACACTTATCCGTGGGCAATTCAGACGATGAGCAAGGACCGGAACGAAACAGACAGAACCGAGAGAGCTCAGCAGCATCAGGCAGCAACACAAACGTTGAAGATGACTGGATGGGAATGCAACGCATCGTGCGTAGCCTAGCACGACGTGAAGATATTCCCGATGAATGGTGGGCTGAGGCTGGCCTCAGCCGAACCCTACCAGGGGAAGGGACAGAATAAAGAGGGCGCACGATACCAGTTTGCATTCGATTTGAAGCGGGATATAAAATACCGGGATTACTTGCTACATATATGGTCAGATGGCGTTAAACGGAAAAGCGAGCAGTGTCGGCAATGGATTGTATCATAATTGTACGAGTTGTTGACTTTTTGGCTCGACAATGAGCAAGGAGAAGATATAATGAAAGTTGACGTTGAATGAACACATACTTGTGGACCGTTGCTTGTGCTACCACATACTGATATGATGGATAACTGTCGGGATTGCTGGTCCATAAAGCGGCCACGATTAGACGCACATCATCGTGAGATCCTGGTCGATCTATCTTGGTGTGGCTTGAAGGACCTTGTCTTCGGGACGGCTACGTGCTGCCAACTTGCGATGTGTACAGCTACGGTGAAGCAATACGAGAACATAAGGTATCAAGTTGATATGATTTTCTTTTGTGGTCCAATACATGCTGCTCAGTTAGAAAAACCGCACTCCATTTGCCGGCATAAGCCTCCCCTGAGACTGTATAAGGGATTGTTGAGCACGGCTGCCGACATGATATATCAAACTCAAAGACGACCCTGCGGCCGAACTATTGATCAAGGGTGAAACCGAATGTCATAACTCGTAAATTGACATGTACAGTACTGGTGAATGCCTCAACTCCAATGTCTGTAGAGGGAGGGCGTGAAGTATCGTCATGGCAGCGTCACGTAATGCCGAGCCAAGCGGACGCGCTTGGAACAAGAAATAAGATTGCAATCTTAGTTTAGTCTGCGGTTCAGCTTACAAGGAAAACAAGAAAAGAGAGTCTCCGTGCACGATATCGATCGACGGTGAGATACGATATCTTTCCCAGCTTGGCATTGACGCCTTGTAACTTAACTCTATCAAGCAAGTCAACTGAAGTCAAACTGAGCTGAGTTATCCGTACCTGCTGGGATGATATGAGACGCATTAACTAGTGGCTTCGAGGGTTGGATCGGCGTGGTCCTTGAGAGCAAGGTATTTCAATTGGGCTGTTGGTCGTTGCTGACAGGGAAAGACATAGTTAAGTTGACTAACTTAGTATTTGAGGCGTCGGAGGAGCTGGCTGAAAGAGAATAACCCGGATGACTGTAGAGTTTGTGTGACGGATAAGTTTCCAAGTTGATCGTTGACGGTGAGGCTTGTTTCGAAGTGTGGTAAGCATACCTAGGTAGGTATTCGGCCGTTGTTGGAGTTTATTATAGGACGTACCTCGAGTTATGGACTCGGTACTTTGGTTTAATGATAAGCGGAGACGAGACATGCTGTTGACTTGGAAGAAAATACCAGTCTTGTTGGGTTGGGTATGCCTGTGCCTGTGTCTGAATGCATCCATCCACTGCCTTGGCTTACATGGCATGGCATGGCATGAACATGAACTGTTTCAAGAGGTGGAGCGTTCCTTGTAAGTGAAGAATTCCAAAACATACTAAGAACTTTGTCTCTTGGAACTGGTGCTGCGAATCGAAGTTGACATCATCATCGAGTCCTAACAATGAATTGTTTTTATAAGTGATTCGTGTTGTTGCTTGTGTCGAGGGTGGAGAATTGAATAGTAGGCGAGCTAGTGGGGGTGGCCCTGCAAGTTGAAGCTGGGCGTTGAAGAGCGCTGGACTTGCAGGCGGCACGGGCCCCCCGGGCACCCCGTCACGCAGCCAGCACAGCTCAAGGTTAGGTACCATCCATCACCTTACGGGGCTGCCCCAGGCCCTGGGCCGATTCGGGTTGGGTTGCGAGCCTCCCTCCACTGCCTGATGAGTCTAGTCTAGTAAGATGGAGGTGAATATGAGACGAGAAACAACATCTTCAGTCGAGTCCAGTCCAGCGCATGATTGATTGGAGATCAGTGGCTTTTTGGTCCAGCTCCGAATTTCCACCCAGTTTCTTACCTTACTTTTTTTTCCTGCCTTTCTCCAAGTTTACTTCATCTTATTTTTTTTTAACGACCCTTCCACTCCCTCTCTCCCTCTCTTAACAACAAACTCTCACGCGATTCAATCCCTTGCCCTTCCGGGTTATTTCATCCTGTCCCTCCTTTAACCCTGGGCTGTTCTGTTAGCGACCGCACGAAACGAAACGAACGAACGAACGGACCTTGTTCATCCCATTCCCCTCCTCGATCACGCTGACGACGTCAACCAAGCTTTCAACGAGCTCAACTACATTCGCCGAACTCGACGATAACAGCTCTATATCGAATCCGACCTCGTATGTAGAAACGAATTACACTGCGCCGCTCCGCTCCCTTCCTTCGATATTCGCCGGGAATGATATCTCCGTCTTGGTCTGAACCTTGTCCTTCCTCCGCCGAACTGCCTCTGCTCTCACCGAGGAGGCATAACGCAGCTTGTCCCGACCAAACCAGAGCATCGTTGAGCTAGAGAGCGCCTGAGAGATAATGCCCGAGCGGCAGTATCACGCCAATGGCCGCGCCGCCGTGGCCTCCCGCGAACGACCCTATACACCAGGAACCCCCTCACGGAAAGACAAGATACGAGAAAGCTCTGCCCTTCAAGATCCAGGGCTCAAGGACTACGTGCGTATATCCAACTACCGATCTCACCGGCGCTTGATCCCGATCCCTGGAAAGTCGGATATCATGATAAGCGAGAGTAGCAGCAGGGTTTAGTACAAAGTTGTCGCTAACGTTTACCTTTTCTGCTTTTAGCGTTTAGGTGAATGCCTCGGAAAAGGTGCTTTCGGATCTGTGTACAAGGCTTTCAACTGGGGAAATGGCGAGGCGGTTGCTGTGAAGCAGATCAAGCTCGCAGATCTTCCCAAGAGCGAATTGCGCATGATCGAGGTGGGTTGTTTCTGAGCTCTACCCTGAAGCTCAATGGTTTGTGATTCGGACGAACTGACATGAGTGAGTGCTGTTTAGAGTGAAATCGATCTGCTCAAGAACCTTCATGTAGGAATCCTGGTCTGAAATGTTATTGTATCTCAAGACTAACAAGCAGTAGCATGACAACATTGTCAAGTACATTGGCTTTGTCAAGTCCGTTGACGCCCTCAACATTATCCTGGAGTATGCGATTCGATTCTGTCTTTGAAGCTCTGGAACTAACAAACCTAGATACTGTGAGAATGGTTCTCTGCACTCAATATGCAAGGCATATGGCAAGTTCCCCGAGAATCTGGTTGGGGTCTACATGACGCAGGTCCTGCAGGGACTACAATACCTGCACGACCAGGGTGTAATACATAGAGATATCAAAGGCGCCAACATTCTCACCACAAAGGATGGCACCGTCAAACTTGCAGACTTCGGCGTCTCAACCAGCACCCTCGCTGGTGGTCAGGATAAGGAGGCACAGGTTGTCGGCACACCATATTGGATGGCCCCTGAGATCATTCAGCTTTCCGGAGCGAGTTCTGCGTCCGATATCTGGAGTGTTGGATGCACTGTTATCGAGCTTCTTCAAGGCAAGCCGCCATATCATAACTTGGCTGCTATGCCTGCTCTATTCGCAATTGTCAACGACGATCACCCCCCATTACCTGAAGGTATTTCTGCTGTAAGTCTCCCCAGCTGTATTTGGGTTCATCTTTTGCTGATCTTGGCAGGCCGCCCGTGATTTTCTCATGCAATGCTTCCAAAAAGACCCCAATCTACGTGTGACTGCTCGAAAACTACTTCGTCATGCCTGGATCACAGGATGTCGCCGAACGGAAGCACCTGTATCAAAAACACCAGCCAATTTCAGCGATGCCGTGGAGGAAGTGAAGCAATGGAATAAAGCTCTAAAATCCTCTGGACCAAGACTTCGACAATCGACTGGCTCTGATGCTGGGCCTTCGTCAAGATTTCTCGGTGGAACTCCCGCCAAGGGAGGTCTATCACTTGCAAAACTACGTCCTGGCGCAGGAGCTTTCAGTAAGCCTGAACTAGCTGGTGCGTCAAAGTCTCGGTGTCTGAGTATTCTGCCTAACCATAACTGTATCACAGATGATGACAACTGGGACGATGATTTTGCGACAGCTATTTCACCAAGCGCACTACAACTGCCGCATCTCAAGCCACAAGACAACTTCGGTGGTCTACTATCGAGTGATCGTCTCAAAGCCTTTGCCTCAGTGAATGATGGAAGAAATGACAGTAATTCGTACGATGACGACTTTGAGGGCGAGTTGATGACAATAAAGGGGCCAGGTCACTGGCAAGACATCGATCCACAGGAGCAGACAATCAGACCATTACCGAAGAAGCCTACGAAATCTTCGGAGCCTGTGAAAGCGCACAGTCGAAATAAATCAAGCTCAAGTAAGGTAACTGGTGCAAGCCGGACCAGATCGCCGACAAAATCAAATCTAAATACGAAGTTCGAGCTTCCACCAAGGCCAGATATCATCTATCGGGAACAGAGTATGGAAGACTTCTCAGATTTATTCGTGGATAACGATAATGTCTTCACTCACAATGCGAATCAAGCTGTTAGACGAGTAAGTTATATGTGTCTGCACCCCATGCGCTCAAGGCTCACAAAGCTACAGAACTCACGACAGACTGATGCACCACAACTCTTTCACCCGTCTGATCTTACGTCTTTACCGAGGTCAATGCAGGAATCTAGCTCAGGTAGTATGAAGAAGAAGCCTTTGTCTCGACCATCAGTTCTCCCTGACAGGCCAATGCGACGAACACGATCATCGATAGAAATCCAGAAGTTCGCAGAAGATGACGACGAAGATTTTAGCGACGTTTTCGGACCTGAATCATCAATAGCGGAGAAGGAGGAGAGTGAGAAAGGATCCGAGGATGGAGGCTTGATGCTCATGTCTCGCGTATCGAGCAATTCCTGGTTAGGGGACGACGAAGACGAAGACGACCCCTTCGCATCAATGGACCCAGGATGGGACGAGATGGATCTAGAGGCCAACATTGCCAGAGATCGACATGCCAGGTTAGCCGAGAGAGTAGAGGACTTGGTAAGGTCTCTCAAAACGACTGAGGGTGAGGATGCCCTGGCCGAGTTCTCGGAAGATTTGGTAAGTTTTTTGTCGTCCTTCACATTCAGAGTCCAGTTACTGACATAGCATAGCTTGCTTTGCTCTGGGAAAACAACGAGGTGAAGAATCTTATCATCAGTGCTCACGGGTTGTTACCGATTCTTGAAATCTTGGAGCCTTGTACCGTCAAAAGTAGGCAGTACATGATCCTGCAGCTCCTCAAGGTCGTCAATGCAGTAAGTTTTGGTATCTGTAGTATAATCGCGACCTGCTGACTCTTCAGATCATCCTGGACGATGTGGAAATCCAAGAAAACTTGTGTTTCGTTGGTGGCATTCCCATTATTACCAAGTTTGCTGCGCGCCAATACTCAGATGAGATTCGTCTTGAGGCGGCTGCTTTTGTCCGTCAGATGTATCAAACATCGACATTGACCCTCCAGATGTTTGTATCTGCAGGTGGTCTGAACGTACTGGTTGAGTTTCTTGATGAGGACTACGACGTTACTCGGGACCTTGTTCTTATTGGGGTCAACGGTATCTGGAACGTATTTGAGCTCCAAGGGCCAACCCCCAAGAACGACTTTTGCAGAATCTTCTCACGAAGCAAGATTTTATATCCATTGGCACTTGTCTTGCACCGAGTCTTGGACGAAGAGGGTGAGGACGAGCTTGGTGAGCTCGTCGAAGGACGAATCGTCAACATTTTCTATCTCTTCAGCCAAGCTGAGAACTACGTCAAGGAGGTCGTAGCAGATCGGCAAGTACTGAAGAGTGTACTAAAAGATCTACGGCGCATGACGCCAATACATCAGATCACAATGCTCAAGTTCATCAAGAACCTCTCGATGCTTTCCACAACGATTGAGTCGCTGCACTCAGCCGATGCTATCGAATTCTTGATTGATCTTCTGAGCTATAGCATGAAGAAGGGCCAGACACATTTCCGCGAAATATCTAATCAGGTTCTCAACACGTTGTTTAACCTCTGTCGTCTGAGCAAGGAACGGCAAGAGGATGCTGCTGTTGGTGGTATTATTCCTCTGCTCCTAAGGATCATGCAGACCGACCGTCCGCCGAAGGAATTTGCGCTACCGATACTCTGCGACATGGCACACTCAGGATCCAAGGGCCGCAGATACTTGTGGCAGAACAAAGGTCTCAACTTTTACGTATCATTACTCACAGACCAGTACTGGCAGGTTACTGCGCTCGATGCCATCTTGGTCTGGCTACAGGAGGAAACAGCTAATGTAGAGACTCACCTTGCTGATGGCAATTTCACACGAGCCATCATCAGCTGCTTCAGCACCAACAGGGTGAACGCCTTTGATTCCAACTTATTGGAACCGCTGCTCAAACTTCTGCGCCTTAGCCCGTCAGTCGCGGCCTCGCTGGCGAAGCCCGAGATGTTTGCGGGCATTGCGCAGCGTTTGACTCACAAGAAGGCGGTTGTGCGACTTAACCTCCTGAGACTGGTGAGGACTATCATGGATGCCTGTGAGCCTGGCCTGGGCAGTGGCGATGGAACGAGATCCCTCAACAGCTCCCAAGTGCGCTCTCTCATGGCTGCTATTCAGACTCTATCAGAGAAGGACTCGGCTGTCCTTGTACGAAACCTCGCTTCGGAGTTGGTGCGGTCCAACATCGAGCCAAGTGGAAGATCTAGCGAGGGGGCGTCCAGTGCTGTACCAAGTTCATCGTCGTCAAGAAGGCCAGGATCCCGACGAGGTGCAAGCTACACGCCCCCTGGCTTACATTCGTCAGCGTCAGTTCCTCAAACTCCTACGCATAGGAGCCGTGGTAGCCTTGCGAGTAATACTTATATCGAAGTAGCAGCGAGTCCAAGGCGAACAGCTGCTGTCGAGCGAGAACGAGAGGGAGCGCTATACAGGCCCCGGAGTAGGGATGGGCCAACAGGTATCCCCCGGCGTGTCAGCGGCGAATTTGTATCTGCAAAGAGTCGCCTCCCTCGCAATTCGCTAGCTACATCGAGTAGCTCCAGAGCAGCTATTGGGATCAGTGCCAACGGCAACAGTCCGGCCCTAAGCTCCCGCAGCGATATCACCATGAACGCCCGAAGCGATAGCAGCTTGAGCAATAAGGAGAACGTAGGCCGCGCGCCGAGCAGTCGAGATGGACTCAGAAGCAGAGATGGGTTGAGTAGTAGAGACGGGCTCGGCAGTAAAGATGGCAGCATGGCATCTCCAGGGTTGCCAGAGGTAGCAGAACGAGTGGGCGTAAGTAAGAGACGGAGTCGAATGCCTGGAGAGCCCAAATGGACATGACGAATTGAAAGGATACGAAAGGATTAAGACGAGAGATGAGCGGAATGCATGATATGAAGAGCACGATGTGATAATTCAGGGGCTGTACATGATAGACATGGATAGGATGGGTAAAGAAGCAGCGAAACTGCGATTGCATGAAGAACAAACAAGACAAGAAATAAATAAATAAATAAATAAATAAATAAATAAATAAATCAAAGAAACAAAAGATACAAAGCAACTCAATTCGTCAACCAATACTGCCTTTACCTCACTAGCCAATTTATTTTCATTTTGTTCATATCCTTTCCGCTCCTCCACAAATCCACACAACCTCACTCAACACAACAACGCAACCGCACGATATCACAACACAGCCCAAAAAGACATTGCATTATCACAAGAAACAGCAAAAATTGAATCTGGAGGGCCATTGGGATTGCTCCCGCCAGGGCTTGCCTCTTGATACTATCTCTTAGTTATTCTACACAAGCTCCATTTGCATTTTATACCCCAGAGGAGCAACAAGGTGATTCATCTCCACTTTCATGTTCAAGAGGTCACTCCTTCTCAACTTCCTTCCCTTTCTTACCACCCACCACCTGTTCCCTGCCCTGGATCAATGGTGGGGAATTTCATTCGGGTGGTCTTGATCAAGCCTTCCATGCCTTTGGGAATTTTGAATGGTTCATTGATATCACCAACTTTGATCGCTGACTTGTAGCGGTCCGGAATAGGAGCGGGCTTGGATATCTCTTCTGCCGGTGCCATCTTCACTCCAGCACGAGTGACTGGGCGTGGGCCGGGAGCAAAGACAATTCCTGCCCTGGTTGGGTGTGGGACTGTGGGTGATGGCTCATACTGGCTGTATCTGATGTTGAGAGCGGCCATCTTTACCTGGCGCTGCCTTTCTTGGTTCTTACGAAAGGTCTTTGATTTTGACTCCGGGTGTTTTTCCCAGCCATCATCGTACCAGCTATCTGCACGCTTTAGTCGGTCATGCTCAGCACCGAAGTTTCCGTAGGTGATGTGCTTCACCAGAGCCTTGACGTGGAAGAATGTGGACTCTTTGCCGAGTTGCTTGCAGTAGGGACAGGTTATGCGCTCTTCGTTGGAGGCCTCGAAGGCCTGGATGGTTCGTCTCACCCACTTTTGCTTCGGCAAGTGGAGCTTGGATCTTTCGTGATCGTAGAGATGGGTAGCATCGTAGTACCTTTTATTCTGGCTAGGTATTAGTAAGATTGGTTGGGCATACCAGTGTCACATACATACCTTGATTTCTGGGCCAATTGTGTCATCTTCTTGACATTTAGCGCAAAGAACACCATTCTTTCTCAAATTCTGGTACTCGCTCATGGTGTTACACAAAATGAGCTGCATAAATGCCTTGGCAGCATCGGCGTACGGAATATCTTCGTTGGCTTCGGGTTCTCCCTCATCAAGCTCTCGGTGGATCTCACCATCACCACCAGTGTTGTTGATCTGGTCATCCAGGTCCTCCTCGGGCAGTTCTTCAACATCGTGGATAAATAAACCAGTGTTCTCATCTACCGCAGCAGGAGGCTCATCACCTGGGCTTTCACCTTCACCAATAGGTTCGGAAACTGCTAAATTCTGCCGGGCCTTCTCCAGCACAAGCTCACTGAGGCGCGAACTCTCCAGGCGGCGCACGCGCTCATCGTAGTCGGTTTGGCTCATCTCGCGACGTTGATTCTGGACCTCCTGAGCAAGAAGAGCCTTGATTGCAGCTCGACGGACCACTCGCTTGTAGTTTCGAAGCTCTTTGGCGGATGCGAGAGCCGGGTAGTTCTCATCACCGAGCATCATTTGGCTCATCAACGCGTTAAGGGCTGGCCCGTGAATTTTTCTAGCCCTCTCGTCGGTAAGGACGTGGATAGCCAAGTCATGGTCACTTTTGAGCATTTCCTCCGTCTGGCCACCCGTATCACCGTCAACTTCGTCTAAAGCCAACCCGCTGACATCAAGTGTATCCTCAAGTGAAAGATAGTACTTTTCGAGTGTTCGCGAATCGGGATCATGGTTCATAAGAGAGCGGGCAGCATCTTTGCCTATTTTGCGACTGAGATCGTTGGCGGTCCGTCGCCTAAGCGAGTAGAATGTCAGGTTGTCGGCATAACCAATCTTCTGGCCTCGAAGGGAGATGTAAGTCGTAAGAGCAGTGGCTCTCATCGGTTCTTGGGTGACAGTCAGTCCCCGAGGACTGGCGGCAAGGAACACTGGTTTGTCGAGGAACTCTGGTTTGATCTATGTTGAGTGTTAGCTACCATCTGTCTTCTGGATAGGTGGTGTCCTTCACCGAGATATATTTGGCCTCGGAACTGAACAATTCGTCAAGAGTTTCGATGCCATCAAGAATTCCACGGCGAATAGCTATAGTCAAGAGACGATGAGGGACTGAAAAGACCATGTTTTCAGTGTTTTGTGGTGACTTGATGACACATCTCAGCACTGATCTCAGTGGACCTTTCTGCGCAGCCTTTGTTGGTTCCTCGCTGTTGGTCTTGAGGTTTCGGAAAGTAATCGTCAATGCGAACTTGCCACCATGGTCCCGGGATAATTCGATATCGTTCCATATCAAGAACGGCTTTTGGGGCGAATCCACTGGTTTGTTATCACTTCTGGCGAGTGACCCCGGGCGAACAGCGCAGATTCTTCCAATACACCAGGCGAGATGGTGACACTCAGCAACCTCAATATTGGGCGCAGAGATCATATCAAAGTCTATCAGTTGTCGGAGTTCTGGGAGCCCTACCTATTGCACGTAACCCATAAGATTAGTAGCTAAACAAACAGCGAGCAGTTTGTGGAACATACTTTAGACATAGTCATGCCTGCGGTGTTCGTCAGCTGAAAGGCTTCGGTGGCGTATCTCATCGTCTCAGTGATGACAATAAACGAGGTGCTGGTTGGAAGGGAACTCGCGTTGTAGATCCTGGCCATTCGGCTGCACCAGAAAACGAGAGCATTGCGGTAAGTGACTAGACCTCGGTAGCTGATTCTTGTTCCTTGGGCGCGACCACGACCATATTTGGCAACAAACATAATGAACCTGCGTTGGGTGTCATTGGGTGTCATTGGGTGAACTGCTGAGGCGGGGCTCTGTTTCCTTACATCTTCATTTGCTTGGTGATCTTCTCCTTGTCCCCAAGGAACATCTCCTTGTCGATAACCTCTTCAGTCATGTCCTCATTGATGACTTTGATGGTTTGAAGAAAATGGCGGTAGTTGGATCGAACCCTATCTTGGGATTTCTGTGTCGAGATTGATTGCCAACGAAAGTTATCTGAATCTCTAACATGCTCTTCGAGGCTTGTCACTAGCTGAAAGATCTCATCCTCATTCTCTGTGTCTATACGGTTGGTGGCATCAGCAAGAGAATATCGTTTGTCTGGGACTCCCCCAGGGACGGACAGGCGAGAAGGACCATCCATCGCAGGTGACTCGAGGAGATTGGAGGCTTTGAAAAGGAGAGGATTGAAATGAGGGAAAGGAGGGAAAGGGGGGGTTATATAGTAGGAGTTGGGAGTTGAGTAAAGGCCTCTGATTCACGGTGGGCGCAGCAGGGGTCTCTGATTCAGACTGAAATACCTACCTAGGTATTTAAACAGTGCCTTCTCCTTCTCCTTCATCATCCATCATCCTTCTTCTTCTTCTTCTTCTTCTTCTTCTTCTTCTTCTTCTTCTTCTTCTTCTTCTTCTTCTTCTTCTTCTTCTTCTTCTTCTTCTTCTTCTTCTTCTTCTTCTTCTTCTTCTTCTTCTTCTTCTTCTTCTTCTTCTTCTTCTTCTTCTTCTTCTTCTTCTTCTTCTTCTTCTTCTTCTTCTTCTTCTTCTTCTTCTTCTTCTTCTTCTTCTTACTTACATAACCTGCCGGTGCCAGGAAGTGCCAGGAGCAAGAACAATCAAATTCGTCTTTAACTGCCCTGAAAACTTTTACTTCGCTGCTCGCTTCTTTCCTCAACACCAACATTTATTTACTCAATACCAGTATTCACCTGACACCAACTCATAGCGACACTCAATTTGATCTTCAAAGATGTCTGGTGACAATCACGATCACGGTGGTCAAGACCACGGCGGCGGCGGTGGTGATGATGATGCCGGTGACTTTGGGCTAGCAGCTGCACCGTAAGTTGATGCAAAACACCACATGGTATACCTAGGATGCCTGAACTCAGCAAAATTTCATCCTAAGCTTATGCTACTTCAACTAAGCTTATGCTACTCTAGCTAAGCTTATGTTAAATTAGCTTAGTCTTTTCGTCTCTTAGGAATATACTAATCGGATTATCAGTCATCTTGAACCTGAAGTAGGGCTTGAGTGGCCTGATTTTCAGAACCCAGAGATCGCATCAGTTGGTGAGATTGTTCTTTCAGGTCAACTTCGGTTTGTTGCCCGCCAGAATCAGGCCTTGATGAGTATGGTCCAGAACCTTTACTCTGCCATTTCTAAGTTCGTCCCACTACACTACTTTCATTCTTTTATCCCTGGCTTTAATAAGCTTATAGATCCCAAAGTCGACGAAGTAGCGTGTTCTTCCACGGGTACCAGCAGTGATGGGGGTGATCCTGTTCACCTCAAAATGCCAGACGAGAATGCTGAACGCGTTTCTCAAGCCTATCAAGCCCTGATCGAGGGTGGCGAGATCTACGACACCGTATCTCAATTTTATGGCGTCTTTGTTTAACTGAATTACAAAAAGCTATACGTTATGCGGAATACGACTTCGACCAAGGGTGCCTAGACCTTCGCCTAACATGTCATTAAGCAGATTGAAGAAAAGCAATCTGCTCCCGCTGGCCAAGAGGATGTAGATCTGGTTGAGAGACAGGACGTCATCCTCACCAACTTGAAACTTCTCACCCCTGATCTCATAACCGACCTGTACATCATGCTGAACAAGGCGAAGAAGGCCAGCGGTCTCAAGGATCAGCCTGATAAGAGCAACAAGGGCAAACGAAAGGCCAAAGGCAAGAAGACCAAAGACACTGGGGATGGGACATCCGCAGATGTTGGTGCCGGTGGCCACCACGAATCCGATGATGGTAATGAGAATCGTAACCTCGAATCAGCCCGCACCACCGCCGGTGGTCCATCTTGCCAGCTGTTACTTAACAGTCAAGCCAGTAGCCTGGTTAAACGATCTCTCCGTTCCCGCCAGATCTCTGGATCTAGTGGTGTTGGTGCTGCCGCCTCTTCCCAGCAATCACAAGCTTCGGCCACCACCATTCAACGCCGACGCTCTAAGCAAAAGACTCGCTTCATCATCAGCGACAATAAGGAGGATGAGGATGCCGAAGATGAGCTTTAGAAGCGGGAGTGAGTGACTGGTAGGAGGGCAGGCAAGGTAGATGGTAGAAAGGGGGTGTTTCTCGCCAGCCAAGTTACTGGTGATGGATCTTATGTATGTTGGAAGCATGGTATGCTTGTGAGTGGGTGGTGCCAATAGGCGATAAAAGTTATTGATTTCGTTTATTCCATCCCCCTTGGCCTTTGATCATCTCCACATAAACCTTTTATTATCTTCCACCTTACGTCCTCCTGCAACACTAGAAAGTTCTACTTGCCAGGAAGGCGCATCTCATCGCGGTGCTTCGCGAGGTTAATTAATCTTTATTGCAACAATTTGCTACATTTTGCCCTTTTCACTGTCATTTTCAGAGCTATTTTACACAAGCTACCGCCAGTTAAGTGCAGGCAGGACCTTTGGAGTCTAGTCCGAGGAGTGGGTAGGTCATGCTTTACTATCCTGTATCCTCAGGTTTCTTATCTTAATTCTCAACAGACTTGCTCTCTTCTGCGTGGCGCTGGTCAACTATAGCTGGCCACAAGTCTCACCCAAGGTACAAAAGCTTCCTTAGGCATTTGACTACATAAAAATCGTCTTCACCTACACCTCCAATGTCTGAAGACATCCCATCCCAGCGAGCATACACATTCGGATCGCTTATTGGATTGCCGATAGCTTCGTGGCCAACTAAATCGCCACCACCGCCGATGTCTGAGGAACGAGAGTCAATGGTCCAGATCCCCGTGACCCAGCACCAGGAAGTACAACACAACCCAAAAAGACATTGCATTATCACAAGAAACAGCAAAATTTGAATCTGGAGGGCCATTGGGATTGCTCCCGCCAGGGCTTGAACCTGAGACCTTCGCATTACCGAACACTCGGATTGAAGTATTAGTACGACGCTCTAACCAACTGAGCTACGGAAGCCATCCAGATGCGATTGTTAAAGATCGGGGTTGGATTGGGGAACTTGACAGTCGAGTACAGGCGGAAAGAGAAGAGATGAAATCACGACTACTCCCATATCCATAAGAACATCCTAAACTTAGGATGAGTATGATAAATGTTTGGGTTAAATGTGAGGAGTTTAGACCAGGCTTCCTAACTCGTATATATACGCATCGCCAACCATTTATCTAAGGGGCATATGGTTTTGATTCTTATGTCTATTATATGGCAATTCATCCTTACAAGACATGTCATTATATGGACAAACAAATATCAAGTGGCTTTCAAATTGTGATTGTGCCATTGTAAAACTAATCTATGAATATGCCTTTCCCATGCCAGTTCACATAAAGGTCCATGATAGCATACCAGGTTTCCTGGCTGCCTGCACAGCATGTACCGCTTGACATGAAAAGAACCAAGTCTCCTGGGACCTGGGACATGACCAGCAGAGAAAGACAATATGTGTACTTAACGAATGCAAGAAAGCAAATGTCAAATTTGCCGAAACATTGTCCCCGTAGGAACGCCGGCCGTAAATCACATCAGGGGCTGGCCGAGTGCCTCACAGAGGCCGCCAGTCCAGACTTTGTTCCCCGGTGATGGTTTCTCATCCTCATTGGTATAAAGATTCCTCATCAAACCCCCCAAATAACCCATTCGTCCATCTAGGCTGAGACAAGATTATCCCCGGGCGATCCCCCCAATGTCATGACGAAGAAGAAGAAAAGTCTGAAGGAGAGACTGTGAAGTGAATTATAAAACTTCTGTAATGGTAAAGTTCGCGGAAATAGACAAGGAAAACGTGTTTCATCCACCCCATGCAGATGGTAACAAGACTCCCAGTGTGATCAGAAAAGACTAAACGACAACCATCAAAATGCAGTCCGCCAGTCCAAGCAGTCGTGTGAACAGAAAGAAAAAGTCCGGGCGCGTAAATCGTGACAGTGTTAAGGGTTCCGGCCGAAGCGTCACCTTTTAAGCAGCGGGAGTGCTCTTGGTGAGCACCAGTCTAGGTGCCTTACGCTGGCTATCAGCCGAGTCTTGTGCCTTGGCGGCTCGAAGAGCGCCGTTCTTGAACACATTAGCAAAAGAGCTGTTCTCGCTCTCCGTGTTTGAGGCAATGCTATCCACACTGTCCACGCTCTTGCGAGCCTTCTGTCGCGAGCTGGGACGATCAGAGCCAATAGCTCCCCAGCTACCACTAGCAGAAGTGCGCGAGCTAGGGCACTCCATATCACCAGCTAGACTGCCGGATCCACTGCGGCCGGAATCGGACTCGTTATCGGTGATAGGTGTCGAAGACTCCTCGGCAGTCTCGGAAACGGGGCTCATACTTCCGCAAGAACTACCAGTTCCCTTGCGGCGTTCAAGGCCGGCACGGACAAGGTTGTGCACAGCGGAACGACGAGTGCGGGCAGAGAAGTTCTTGCTCCCCTCATGCTTAGCGGTGGGCTTAGCCTTGAGCTCATCCAGGGAAGGAGGTCCACGAGGCTGACGGATAGGATGCTCTCCAGCACGGGCCTGACCAGGTCCGTACCCACCAGTCAGGGGAGTGATGGGGAAAGTGGAAGTCTTGGGTCCAGCAGACTTGGGAGCGTCAGAAGACAAAGAAGCAGCTAGAACACTGTTGACGGGAGCCAAAGATGAGGCCTTCTTGTGTCCACGGCGGAAGGCATTAGCAGAAGGTGGAGGAAGAGGGGCAACCTCGGTGGGGGACTCGTAGCGCTTGGGAGGCGAGTTGCTGCGGAACGAGAAAGGCTGAGACTCAACAGGAGGAGAAACCTGAACCGAGGGCGTGTTCTGCTGATGGTGGAAGCCACCAAAGCCGGGGGTCGAGGGCTGCTCGTTGTAGGGCGAGGCGACCTGAACAGAAGGCTGGGGATCTCCAACGAAATACTGACCAGTCATAGGGTTGTAGTAAATCTGCTGTTGCTGCTGCTGTTGAATTTGCTGCTGAGCCTGTTGCTGGGCTTGCTGTTGTTGGTTGAAAGCAGCCTGGACGTTAAGTTGCAGGTTCTGGAGCTGTTGCTGTTGCTCATACAGAGCAATCTGCTGCTGTGTGAACTGAGAGTTGTTAAGGTTCAGCTGCTGAAATTGCTGAGCAGCTGCCTGGACATTCCTAAGCTGCTGTTGAAGGCGCTGCTGCTGCTGAGCCAGGTACATGTTGGTAGCAAGAAGCTGGGCATACAGGCCAGGATCGTCATGGTTCTGCTCATCCATAGCAAGCTCAGGGGGCGCCAGAACCTGTTCAACAGTATACTGCTGGCCTACCATTGAGTTGTAGTTGTTCTGAGTACCGTATTGGGGATAGGCTGTCTTGGGGGCGTTGTAGGCGTTGTCCTGGCCCATGCCATAGGCATTTCCAGCCATGGAGTTCCGGGCATACTGCTGCGTGGGACCGGCGGTCGTGGGAGATTGAGGGCCGAAGGAAGCAGCAGTAGCGGACTTGGGAGCCGTTCTGAGGCCAGCAAGGAGGTGTGAGCGACTAGTGCGAGGGGTAGGAGCACCAGGGTCCTGATCCTTTGTCTGGTTGATGAGATCAACTGAGAGGGGTTTGGGGTTTTGGCCGCCGCGACGGGCAGCAAGGCCGCCAGTGGGCATGGAGAGGCCGTGAGTGAAACCGTTGGAAGACATTTTGAGCGAGACCGCCTGCGTCCTTGGCTCAAAGCGGGATTCGTAGATCTAAAGATTCGAGAGATAAGAAAAATAGACAGAGAATGTGGTTCGACTATTTCTTGCGTTGAAGGAAGTAGCCGGTCGGATTAGAAAGTAGCGTTTGTATAAATCAAGGCGAACAAATTAAGCGATGTGGGTATATCGATAAAATCGACAAATGTTGGATTCCGATGAATTGTCGATGCAGAACGTATGCCGAGGAAGCGTCTCGAGAAGCCAAAAGAGGCAAATCCAAGAAGCCGGGTGATCGAACAGAACAAAGTTGAGAGAGAGTCAAAGATTAAGTCCAGGGCAGTCGATGGAGTAAACAAGTAAAAATTGATGAATGAAAGGGCGATGCGAATGAGCGATCAGTGAAAGAATATCGAAATGTCGAGCGGTAGATCCCTCAGCGAAGAGTCGTTGAGAAGGATCGAGGGAAGCAAGCTTCAACAAGGTTGAGTACTTGCTCAGACCGTGGTCAGGTGACAAAAGGACCTGGAATGTGGTCGGTTTGAAGTGTATTCACGCTCAAGCGGCGAGTCGGGTGATTAACACACGACCTGAACGCGAGCACCAGCTGGTTGTTGTCTTTCCAAGACAGTTTCAGCAGACAACGTCCTCCAAACGATGCCTATCCAGATGTGAATGGTCCAGGTATTACCTTTTATCGAAGCCTCCTCTGGTGGAATTTTGATAAAAACTTTTTGAGTGGAAATACTGTTCGCAGTCTGATTTCGATGAGGGTGTGTAGAGATTAAGCTGTGGTGGTGACGATGATGTATCCGAATACCGAAGGCGGAATAGGCGATAAGGCAAAGAATCGACGAAAGAATAATACAGAGATTAAAATGGGGGTTTTCAGGTATCAATCACCAGTAGATAGATGCGCCTTCCAGAGCCTCAGGGTTTGGTCTTGTTCCTACAAATTTCCGTTGCGTTCCGTCTTGTCGTCGTGGTTTTTCTTTTCTCTTTGTGATGTGCAAAGCGGACAAACGGACGGATGGGCGAGAGCGAGAGCGAATGCGTGCGGCAAATTGAGTGTGAATGGAGTTGACTTTGTCTCGCAAACGCGGGAGCGTGAAGCTTGCTTTGGGGAATTGCGATGCAGCCGAAGCGACGCGGGAAAGAGGGAGGAGGGAAAGAGGTGAGAGATGGAAATGAAGGAAGGGCGCAAAATAGTAGGCGAAGGGGAGAGGAAGGAAGGAGGAAAAAAGGAAGTAAGTGGTGGAGTTTAAGTCTAATACGGATACTAGATGAGAGGAAGGAAGGAAGGAGTGGAGATGGGGAGGATGAGCGAGAAGACGAGAAGGCGCGAGTGCCAAATGGAGAACGAGCAAGAGTGGGAAGTGTGGAGACCACAGAAGCCCTTTGCTTGGCGGCGGGTGTGCTTGGGCTTGCTTGGGGGGAGG